TGGACGAGGAAGCCACATTGACAATACCCCTGGCACAACATAAGGACAAGGGAATTCAGAGTCAAGGAGCTGGCAGTTCATGCATGAAGCTCTATAGGTGACCCTCTAAACTCATTAACTGATGGCTCTTGGCATCCAATGAGTGTTGCTCCTTTGAAATTACAGTTTTCATTATGTGCTAAAGTAATAAACAGAGTCTCACATTCAGTTCCAAGATCATGAGAAGACACTTTGTCTCTGACTAACAGTGTATATTTCACTCTTGGCAGATAACATGAAGCTATTTTTATGTCTTCATAAAAACTTGGACTGGCTGCGATTACTTGTCAGTTTCACAATTAGAATATGTAAGCACATTTGTCTGCTAAATACTCAGGATCCATTATGTTATAATAATAATAATAATAATAATAATAATAATAAAGGATTACAATAACTGACAGATTTCTTATCTGTGTAGTATCAAATTAATGTTATTAGCTTGGCAGTTAAGATTCCCTACATATATGTTAAATCACATTAAAGATAAGCATACAAGGTTCCTCCAAATGTGATTTAAGGTGCAACTTCAGCTAAAAATATGTCCATTCTGTCAAAATGTCATTAAGACATAGGCCTTTAAACACCCCTCTGTGCCAAATATTTAAAAAGTTATAAAAATGCTGTCATCCACAGCATATAGAAACAAATAACTGTAATTATTTATTACTATAGCATAGAGAGAGAGAGATGTTGCTTTTTCTTTCTTTCTTTTTTTAAGTGTTGTGTCCATATTTGTGCCCAAACGTGGCACCTGTGCGTCTTCAGCTTTATCCAAATCTTGGATCACTGAACAGGGTTTAAATGCACCCATTTTGCTGGTTTTAGAACACTTTTGGCGTTTCAGCACACAGGCTGTGTAATTTTCCACTTTATTTGGTATTTTCTGTGGTTTATGTGTCATCATTTTTCATTCATGTGTCGTGTATTGGCGGCGTTTTGCTGTTCAGCATTATCATCCGGAAAAGCGGGCGAGCCTGGGCCTGTTAGAGGTTTGACCCAGACAGTGGTGCGGTGAGAGGCCTGGGAACTTAAATAATAATCTCATCTTCTGAATATTTTCTTAATTCCCAAAGTCACCGGTGTGTGTGTGTGTGTGTGTGTGTGTGTGTGTGTGTGTGTGTGTGTGTGTGTGTGTGTGTGTGTGTGTGTACTTTCTAGGCGTCTTTTGGATGCCAGCTGAGATTTCAAATGCTTGAAAGCGCACTGCCACTGTCCGAAAACCTTGTCCATCTAATAAAACCGCAAAAACCGTTTGTTGAATCGTTCCCTCAACAAACCCCTAACCCACAGTTTTTTGTTAAAAACAAGAAAATGTGCGAAGCTATAGATCCGGTTTTATTTTGGTTTTAAAAATCTAAATTCTGTACCGTTGCCTCAAAGTTTATGATCGCTTAACTATATCCAGTATTAGATCAACGTGTCCCCGGAAAACAAGAAACAAAAAACAAATAAAAAGAACCCCTCTAAATCCGTATTCAATTTATTCCACTGAAAAATCTTGTCTCGTGTTCAAACCGCAGTGTCCAAAAAAGGAGCCAGAGAGAAAGCGAGAGAGAGGGAATTAAATCAACCGCAAATAAAAATGCTGTAATTATTATGTAATTATTTTATTGTTAAACTGTGTGCTGTGGTTAATTTCACTGGAGGCACAATAAATTAAATGCTGGAAAAAAACACCCTAAATGTTTTTGGGGCTGTTTCGCTCACGTAGAGCAACCTGGAAGCATTAAGCATCAATCCTATATGGTTGCCCTTTTTTTCTTTTTCTTTTTTTCAAACAGAAGCTGCGAGCGGCTCCAAAACTAACACATTATTTCGATCAAGCTGCACGAAATGTGGCAACTCAATAAAACGCCCTGTTTTCCAGAGGGCTCCTATAAGCTGGCACTTAACTTTGCGGATGAGGTTTTCCAGTGGCATAACGCGATTAGTGCATCATCAGTATCTTTTCAACTCACCACCACCGGCCGCTGTTGTTGACTGCCCCTGTGCCCGAGAGCGAAGACACCAAGAGGATGCAAGCGGCTTTCACCCCTAACAGCAGCGCCAGACTCCTCATCGTGGCTTCAGTTCAAAAATGAGGAGGAGAATGTCATTATTTGGTGATATATATATATATATATATATATATATATAAACAACGCTCTTCAAAAAAAAATACAACACCTTTTGTTTCTTGTTCCAAACATGCAAACATACTGTGTCACTTTCATCTTAATGATCAACTTGAGTTTTGAGTTCTGAGTTTTGAAAATGAGCAGGTTGGATATACTCACCACGCCACAATCCGAGGAGAGGACTTGAAAGGTGATAGAAGGAAGTCCTAATTAACTTAAATGGCTCTTGAGTGGAGACAGGTTGCTGTGCTGTGAGGTGTCCGGGCAGGATGCTACTGCTGCTGCTGCTGCTGCAGTCCTCTTCACTCTGTCTCTCTCAGTGATGCTTTGCACGGCGCATTGAACGCGTGGGACAGTTCCGAAGACTTGATCCCCTCGGTGACTGATAGGCAACACATTCTTCTCTTATTGAGCGCTACGAGGGGAATAAAAAAGGGATTTGCTGCTCTCATCTCCCTGTTTTTTTTTTTTCGGAGCCTTTTCAATAGGATTGGAGGGAGGGATAGTTAATGCTCTTCATAGGGCGCACAATGAATAAGGAAACAACTGAGCAGAAAAAAGAAAGGAAGGGAGAGAGAGGGAGAGAAAAGCAGGGCAGTCCACGGTGTTACGCATATTGTGGAATCTCACGGTCATCACAGAATCGATTCCCTGTAAACGTGTACGGCTGAAAGTATTTTCTTCCCCTTTCAGTGACCGCGCAGCTAGCCTCCGCATCCAGTCTTGCTGAGAGAAGTTCCCCCGGAGCCCTGGAGCAGTGATGAGTTGGTACAGATGCTGTGGGTGCGCCCGCTTTGGTGCTTCGCCGCTGCTCAAAGCTGGTGTCACGGTACAGTATAGTTACAGCGCAATATGAGCCATCTGAAACTGCCCTTTTTACCCGGTGGTTGGATTAGCCTACTCCCTAACCGCATCTCCTCCTCTCTCCAAATGCGCTCTCAAAATGTGCAGTGACTAATGCCATTTCTGCACATGTTCTTTTTTTCACACTTAAACTCCTACAGATCGAGTTTATTCATTATTACATGTAAATAATATATATGTATTTTTAAAAGTGAATGTTATCCCTTAAGGTTACTTTCCTCTCAATAAAACGTGTTATCAGCCGTCTTTATCATATAAGAGCGAACGCGCACACGCACAGCGAAACGTGAATGCCTGCAGAAGCAATAATAAGCTCGTAATTGTCCTATAACTCACACTGCCTGCTGGGCTACTTAAATATTTTTCAAACGCGGAAGACATGAAATATGGCCTCCAATCAGAAGTTTGATGTATGATGAACCAGGAAAAGAGGGGGACGACTAAGGATAAAAACCAGTCCAAACATCTGGCTTGCAGACCTCCCTCGACGCAATGTAACCCAGTGTAATCACAGCTTGAGCCACTTTGCGGCATCTCCATCAAACCCCAGACTAGGAGCAAGCTTAAATGTCCCCAAACTTCTCCATATTGGTTCATTTTGTGACATTTATCTGCTAATTTGCATATTCCACATTAGTCATTGCAGAGGTTGTAGGTTGAGTAATCTCTCCCCCTTCCTCCGCACCTCTCTGTCTCTCCCTCAGATGACAGTAAAAGGAAGTAGGCTTTAAAAAAAGAGAGAAAAAAGGCTTTAATGACAGCCACCCTACGTTTTTACCCGAGCCTTATATGAATTTGCTCAAACGGGTTTCCTGGAGCAGTCATGCGACACCGAGCAGATTAGAGCTTCAATCCGGATAAAGGGGGCCTTTTATATACAAATCAACTTCAAATCACTTTTTAAGCCACTTAGATATACACACCAAGGCAGAATGCTAATGCACTTTTCATTGCTGCAGCTTAGGGAATGGAAGGAGATTAGATGAATTGGTGTCACTAAGCGAACCGTGTTCGAGGGGGGTTTTAACTTAATTTTATGAAAGTAGCACACAAGCACCTTTCGCTCCCAGCAGCAATGTTATGTTTAATTTTGGATAACCTGGATCGATATACGGATTGATTCGCGTCCACACTGAAGGCCCGGGCAACTTGCTACATAAGCTTACTCAACAGTGACCATAGAAAAGAATTTTAATAGATATGTTGTCTCCAATAAGATGTTTTAGTCTGTCAGTTCTTTTGAATCCCTAAAAATAATTTGTCATTAGAGTTTTGTCAGAGGTCGTAATTGCACAACATTGTAAATAACTGTCTGTTACTCTAGCCATTTTTTTTTCTTTCGTTGCTTTGAAATAAAGACTTTAGATTGACAATGTGAAGTTGTTTCAAGCACAACAATGAGGCGCAGCCGCTCTGATGGAGGTGGGAGGAAGGGGGAGCACAAGACTTAAAAACAGTATTGTTGGAGGGTCTGTTAGCGGAGCCGCCTGCCTGCTGCTGCCTCCCTGTCGTACAGTGGAACCAGCAGCTCTCCCCTCCCCCTTCATTATTTAAAATAACTCACCGCTTTATGAACAAAATCTTCCTTGAGTTTCCATATTTCATCTCATCGAGGATTTCTGTGTTCTCCCCCAAAATGTAGGACCAAATTACCTTATTCCTCCCATCACACCAAAAGAGAGTAGGAACAAGTACATGCATATATAAATATGTATTTTTTTTATCCTTATAAATATGATCATTGGATCCAGTATTTCTAAATACCTGCTTAATTCGAAATCGCTGTCCCGCAATGCTTGTAAAGTGCTTGTGCGTAAAATGTTGGAGACGTCATTTTACGCTTGGGTGAATGATCCCGTTATCGAATAATTAAAGTATCAACTGGTGATCCAATTCTCATCCTGGCCAATATTTTGCAAACAGCCGCCTGTAGAGGCATCTACTCCCCTCCCCTCTTTCTTTCTCCCCCCTCCTCCCCCCTCCTCCTCCACTTTATTCTCTCCTCCGACCTCCTCTGTTCTCCGTCTTCACTCCTCGGTCGTTTGGCGGTGCATCGATAATACTGCAGACATCGTCCTTTCGATTTTCTTATTCGACGCGGACCATCACTACCAGTGTTTTAATGTCACGTCGCGAAAGACGCACAACAAAATGGAGCTATCAAACAAACTCCGTTGGGACCAATTCCTGATTTTGGCAGCAGCACTTATGTCACCTGCAATCACGTAAGTGCACTTGAGAGCGCCAGGAGAGTTGCAGACTGTGGCTGCACGAGATTCGGCAGAGTTGCGGGAAGTTCTTTGCATAGGTTACTATTCAAATGAATAATTTAGCTATTTTTTTTTAAACAAAAACAAAAACATTAAAAACGAATTATTAGTCATTGTATTTCGAAGTCTGGTTTCGTGTAAAGTTAAATAAAAAAAGTGCAATCAGTGTTAATTGAGTGGTTTAGCTTTAAACGAGTCAAAATAATTCCAAAGTGATTTCACTTTCAGTCTCGTTATTTCTTTATAAGATGCATTTGGCCATTAAATCTGTTTTTGATATTTCTCAGCTGGATAATCTGTTTAGAATTATATTTTCCCTCCTTTAACCAACTGACACTGGAGCAGAAACAGTGCAGCAAATACTTTTGGACGCATTTTATTGGTAGGTGTATTTCCCATAAAGAATGAATTATATCATATCTCTCTTAATTATTTATTGGGTTTGTATTTTTCTTAAGTGTACTGAACCCCCTCCCATTGCCTCATATTCCTCTGGGCTTGACTAATGAACTGTTGACCATCTCCGATGACCCCCCCCACACACACACACAAACACACCATCTCACTCCCCCACTCTTTCTCCCACTCTCCCTGCAGGGTGCTGTGTAATGATATCCTCAGCCTGAAGGTGGCAGGAGATCCAGTGCTAACCCCTAACTCTGTGTGCCTCAGGCTGGCAGGCCTCAGTAAACGTCAGATGCGGATGTGTGTGAGGAACCCTGATGTGACAGCATCTGCTCTGCAGGGGATCCAAGTGGCCATCCATGAATGCCAGCACCAACTCCGGGACCAGCGCTGGAACTGCTCCTCGCTGGAGGGCTTTGGCAAGCTGCCGCACCACAACTCCATCCTCAACAGGGGTGAGAGTCTGAGGCAGGCTAATGATAGTCAGTATGTGATCCTGGGGTTTATGGTAGAAAAGTGCAGGTATGAGAATATAGATTGTGCTGTACACAGGTAAATGACATTTTTAGAGCTGCAGTCTTTATGGTTTCAACCTCTCTGAGTGTGTTCCTCTTGCTCCTAGGTTTTCGGGAGAGTGCCTTCTCTCTGGCCTTGCTGGCGGCGGGCGTGGCTCACTCTGTGGCCTCGGCTTGCAGCATGGGCAAGTTGCGGGGGTGTGGCTGCGAGGCCAAGCGTCGCCAGGACGATGACAAGATCCGGCTGAAACTCACACAGCTGCAGCTGCAGACGCTTCAGAAGGGTGGGGCAGGCATCGACTTAACACGGTCATTACCCTCAGAGCTGAATGGTCATCGTGGCAGCCTGCCCACTAACCTGCGCTCAGCCCACCCCTCAGCCCTTCTCAAGCCCTTACCGGATGAGCTAAGCTCTATGCAAGACACCTGGGAGTGGGGGGGGTGCAGTCATGACATCCGTTTCGGGGATCGCTTTTCCAGGGACTGGCTCGACTCCCGGGGGTCTCCAAGAGATATCCACGCCCGCATGAGGATACATAACAACCGTGTGGGACGACAGGTGAATATTGTGCTTTTCAGCTGTTGTCCCTCCGACCTTCAGCACTCATTATCATTTTGGTTGTTGTTGGAGTTTGCTTACAGTGTTATTCTTTACACAGATAGTGACTGACAACATGACAAGGAAATGCAAATGTCACGGCACATCAGGGAGCTGTCAGTTTAAGACCTGCTGGCATGTATCTCCAGAGTTCCGTCTTGTGGGCTCCATACTCAAAGAAAAGTTCCTGACAGCCATTTTTGTCAACTCTCAGAACAAGAATAATGGGGTTTTCAACCCTCGGACAGAAAACGGTGCCAGCGGAACCCAAGGGGGTCTCGGCGGAGGGCGTCGTCGAATCATGTCCAGAGAGCTGGTGTACTTTGAGAAGTCTCCTGACTTTTGTGAGCACGACGTGTCCATAGACTCTCCGGGAACACACGGACGCATCTGCAACAAAACTAGCTACAGCACAGACAGCTGCAGCTCGCTGTGCTGCGGCCGTGGACACAACATCCTGAAACAGACACGCAGCGAGCGCTGCAATTGCAGATTTCACTGGTGTTGTTACGTGCTGTGCGAGGAGTGTCGTCACACAGAGTGGGTCAACGTGTGCAAGTAGACGTCAGTCTGTTCCCCCCTCAGTTCGAGCGGCTTTTACTCATCCAGGACTCAAGATGGCGAGCCTGTCCCTTCGCCCACTCATGTTGTTCGAGCTTTTGTTTTTGCTCCTTGTGCAACTCTCCCAGAGATCCTGTTTACCCCCCACCCACCCTCTTTTTTTAAGTCCATCATCTGGGATCTATTTTCTTTTTGTAGACGCTGTTATTCTCAAAATGCCAAGTCAGAGATTGAAGAGGTGACTCATGTCATTTGTCTTCCCATGGCCTGTTTAGACGCTGGCCTTTCAGCCATGAAAATGGCCCATACTTCATCGTTTGAGACCCACAAAGAAAAAGAAAGAAAATGCAACAGCAGAGGAGCTTCAGCGTCTACAAGCTGACTCATCTTATTGTACAGTAACAGTTTATTTGAATGTGTATGTCTATAATTGTAAATGTATTATTATTAATATTAATATTGTACTAGAGCCTGTCTTTTTTCAGTGAATGACAGATTGATGGTGGCCATGTGGTCAGCATGGTGAAGCAGTGTGCAGACCTAACAGTCTCATTTTCTTTCTCCATTTGCACCAAAATAATACTCGTGTGTGACTCTGAAAAGTACTAATTTGGGAACTTGTCTCACAATCTCTCTTTACTGATCAAAGAAGACAAATTTTTTTTGGAAGGGCGAATGAATTTGACACAGCGCTTTCTCACATGCAGGACTTTCAGATGCTCGTCCAAGCTTGTACACTTGAAAAACTCAAGATGGGAAACTGGAAGCAACAAATCTCTAGATTGTACGACTAATGATTCAGATTTATATATTTATATAATGGTAACAATAGTAATCACTTCATGAGAATGGTTGCTAGTGGTCATGTTTTTTATGACTCTGTATCATTATTGTGGCAGCAAAAATGCTGTCTCTTGGGTATGACTGTACTGTGATTTGTGTCACTTTCCTATGAAATTGTGACTGGGCTCTTGATATTTCGTGCTTGCTTTTGTCCATTTCATCAGTCTGAGCACTCCTTAGATTCTTCCCACATGTACTACATGTCAAAGTGAGAGATGGACCTACTTTAGTCCTGAAATGACGCTGAAGAGTGTGCGTCTGTTGCTGTGTAAATGGGGGGTAGGCTCTGTGCACTACAGATTTGGGAGGTGAGAGCCTTTTTTATGGCCACTTCATGCTGAGAGAAGGACTTTTTATGGCTGCAGGATATTGTTTCCTTAAAGTATGACTTTTATTACTGGAGAGAAGCATCAAGAGAGCAGAGAATGGGGGTGATTATACCAGTCTTTGCTGTGCGAGCATCTAAGGGGATCATCTGTCCAGAGTTCATAGCCAAGGAAGGGACTTGTTGAACCACGTGCTTTGGGGACGCTGTATCCCTGTTACCTGGGAGACAGACTACACAAATATAAACACATGCACATAAATGCTTGCATGGGTTGGTTTACGTACCAAGACATGTAGGAACGCTGGCACCCGACGCTCAATCAAAAACATGCATGTTGTTGCGCACAAATGAACTGTAGATTTAGCAAAATGCTCCTGTCGCCACTTGACTCGATTTATGATAGCAGCATTCCTCGATATCTTAGATAATCCAAACCGTCTCCATGCTTGGCCTGCTGGGAAAAGCTTTTTTTTGCCACATAGGATTTAATGCCAATTAAGTCCTGTTTGCATGGACTTTGGTAAATATCCCTGAACTCCGAAGGAATGACAGCGCCAGTGGCTGAATTGAGCACTTGATCTTTTTTGGTATTTAGAGAGGGAGCAAAAAAAAAAAGAAGACAGCGAAGAGGTATGGAATGATAAGGGCTTGGATTTCTGGTTTGGATTTCTTCATTCCTTTATCATTTCACCCTGGAGCTGCTGCGAAAGGGAATTTCCTGTCACTGTTTCTAACCATGTGTGAGACAGAGGTTGGTGGACAGCCTGGGATTGCTTTCTCTCTCTTGCTCTGTTTCTCTTACTTCGCCCCTTTCCCCATTCTCCCCTTCATCATTGCAGACAGAGACACATACATAGCAACACATTGACTGCCCCCACCCCCCCTGCAGTAATGACATCCAGACTGGGCTGAAATTAAAGAGAGGCAGGCAGAGAGAGAGGAAGTAAGGAGAGATAAAAGTTACCCACTTTGACTGACAGCATGATTATATGTATAAATAAGGCGATTTAGCGTGTTTAGTTGGATATGAAGATAGCGAGATAGATTTTGCTGCACATACGGCAGAGATGCACAAGCAAAGGACAAATCGAGTGTGGCGAACGGGGTGAATAAAGTGTACTCTGTATAAATATATGCCTCGAAACATCTGCTTCTCAACTCCCCTTTCATTTTTGATGTGGGACAGGCAGAGGAGAGCGGGAGAGAAAACACAAGGAGCCAGCTACCCAGAACATCAAAGCCCCTGCCCTCAACGTGCAGGCCCTCATTAGTTCAGCTAGCAGAACCAACGAGACTTGTGATTGTGTTTGCTGGGGTGCACGCTGGCAGACACTTCAGAGGAAAGGCTCCCTTAAGTCATAACTCCCCACCCTACCTCTCCTGCCACCACCCGGGCCCGCTTTAACCCCCCTGTAACCCTCTCCAAACTCCCCGCGCACACAAACTCCTGCATGCTCACCCCACCATCCACTCCACCCCGTAATCTGGTCTGCAGCTGCAAACATCTGCTCCCCTCTTTATTCCTCGCTGCCTCCACCGCTGAATTGATAAACACATCTATTACTGGACCACTGACTGGCACACAGCACGGAGGAGGAATGAGGCAAATGTTGGACTCACCTATGGCTGCAGGGCCGGTTTGAAGGAGTGCCGTTTGTTCACATTGGCTTCTTCTTTAGGCGACTTCTTTTTTTTTTTTTTAATGTCCTTTAATTTCAAAGTGCAGTGCAGTTTGCAAGTGTACAATGCAAAAGTGCATGACAGAAAACAAGAAAGAGAGAAGGCATTGACCCCAGGTTTGGTTTTATTTAACTTCATTCAGAACCTTTTTTTATTTTAAAGAGATGGCTACCGAAAAGAAGAAAAACATCTTATAACTATGAGGGAAGTGAGTCTGCAGTGGTTTGGACTCACATGCATGAAGCAATCTCATTAGATAGCATAGGCGCCAAAAAGCCATAGAAATATTTGACATTTTTAATAAATAAAATAATGCTCAAAGGTAAACCAACTGCAACATCGATTCAGTCTATGCTTTTGTCCCCTCCTGTCACCTCATTATCTGTGAAACACTGCCAGGAAGTATCACTTGGCATCCTGTTACAGTCAGCCATTTACTTATTCATTAAGATGATTCCTGTTTTAATTATTCAAGCGTGCTTGCCTGCAGGCTCTCGTTTAAAACTGGTTTGGGCCCTCTGAAACGTCATATGTGAGATAGTGGGAATAGCTATCAAACTATTTATTATTCTTTGATGTTCCTCAAGAAAACAAGATGAGCCTCAAATAAGCTGTAAGGTGATGGTGCATACAGTAACTTTTCAGAGCTGGAGACAGCAGCTCCTGGCTTTTAACAAGTCGCCGGGCGATGAGAGATTGGCAATCCAAGTATCGCGAGAACTCGCAGTGTCACAGCTGCAGCTCATCGCGAGACTATCATCCAGTCCTTCGCCTGAATCCAGCTGGTACCCTTCCTGCCGTTGACGGGTAAGTGTGAACGAGATGCAAATGGTGAAATTGCTGAAAGAGGTATACGAGCGCTAAAAAGGTGGTTTCATTTATCACCGCTTGAGTTGCCTTTTAAATGCTGCGAGGGGGGAAATGAACGACCCTTAATGTACGACATGAGGCCGACTGGCGCGCTTGTCGTGACTGTAAGAGGGGGGATTATAGCACACAAATTGACCCGGAGATTTTATTTATGTTTTCAATTAAATACCGACGATGTTAGCTCACAGGATAGCAAGCAGATTATGTTCGGAAAGTGAATGTTATCGAGCCGAAAGAAACGTGATTTGGGTTCAAAATTCATCGACTGCAGCATCCGCCGTCTTCGCCTCGCATTATGACAGATGTGTGTGGATGTGCGGCCCCTGCAGCTGCAACGGGCTACGCTAGCACCTGCTGTCCGTGCGTTTGATAGAAATGAATGGAAACCTAGCTAGTCAGAGGAAAAGCGGCCAGTCATTAAAACACACAAGAGGGATACTTCACTGCCCCACAGAAGACTGCTAGTTTAAAATAACCCTCTAAAAACCAATGCGACCCGTGTAGTGTGTGTTAGCACAAGTTAACAGGCAAGGTTGGCCTGTAAAGGGCCCATTACCACTGAAGGGCCACCCTCCTCCTCAGCTCTGTGAGCCTGACTGTGTGCAACCATAGACAGCATTAGGTTATGTGTCATAATAACGTAATATGAAATGAGTGTTACCCTGGCATATCTTCAGTTGCCTAAAAAGAGCATAAAAAGGTGGTTACTCAGCACCACATGAAAGCTGAGCCACATAACAGAGATCCAGCATGGCTGCTCCTTTCCCAGTGAGCTGTCACTGTAAAGGAGCAGCTTTCGAGTCAGGTCAGCTGCCTGCCGGGGTGTGAAGTATACGTTTCCTGGCTTTCCTCTGAGGGGGCACGGCTGCGAGCAGTAAGGGAGGTGCCAATGCTGAGATGTGTTTTTGAACAGCTACTGTCACACCACATGTTTCTTTGTGTGTGTGTGTGTGTGTGTGTGTGTGGTTTCGACTCTCTAAACGTGGTTCACGGTTTGTTTTGTCTGCTTGTTGCTATGTATAGCAACAAAGCAGCCCGTGTAACAGTTTGTTGCAGTTGTGCCCCCACCTCCTCTCCTCCCGAGGCATCATGGGAAACATCTTTGGGAACCTGTTGAAGAGCCTGATAGGCAAGAAGGAGATGAGGATTCTCATGGTGGGGCTGGACGCTGCAGGGAAAACCACCATCCTGTACAAGTTGAAGCTGGGGGAGATCGTCACTACCATCCCCACAATTGGTGTGTGACTGTCTGCCTCTAAATAAAAAAAACAAACATGTGTCTTAGAGATCATGTGACCCATTTTCTATTTGCTTGTTGTCTCCTCCACCCCAGGTTTCAATGTAGAGACAGTGGAATACAAGAACATCAGCTTCACTGTGTGGGACGTGGGTGGCCAGGACAAGATCCGTCCTCTTTGGAGACACTACTTCCAGAACACCCAGGGTGAGATGCATCAAAAGCATCTTAGGTGAAAGACCAGCCAGCATGGTTAGAGTTTTGTTTGTTTTTTTTTAAAAAAGGCCTCTCCAGTCCTGCTGCGGATCCTGGAGCGCACGCTCGCCCCCAGCACCTGAGGACAAAATCTGACTAATCCTTCAGATGATGTAATTTGCATACAGGCTCCAGATGTTTCAAATGATCATCTTAGTCATGTTCAAATCCCGGACAACCATTAAACATGCTTTGACAATATGCTTTCCTGACAATGTGATGTGACCTGATTGTTTTTGTTCGGTTTCAACTTATTCCTGCAGGTTTGATCTTTGTGGTGGACAGCAATGACCGCGAGCGGGTCAACGAAGCTCGAGAGGAGCTGATGCGTATGCTGGCTGAAGACGAGCTGAGGGATGCTGTTCTTCTAGTCTTTGCCAACAAACAGGTATCCACCACATTACGTTCCCCCCTGCTTTTACGCCTCTTGCCTCACCAACTTCCTGACGGACACTTTGTCCTCTGTGATTTTGTTCAGGACCTGCCCAACGCCATGAACGCCGCAGAGATCACAGACAAGCTGGGCCTGCACTCCTTACGTCACCGCAACTGGTACATTCAAGCCACCTGTGCCACCAGTGGGGACGGCCTGTACGAGGGTCTGGACTGGCTGGCCAATCAGCTGAAGAACAAAAAGTGAAGGGCCGGGTCAGTGAAGTGGGGAAGAGCCTGGGTGCCAGCTCCAGGTTGTGGTTATAGGGGTTCCATTGTGTTTACATAGAGAAGAAAAATGCTGAAAAGCTCCCAGGGGGTGACTCTCAGTGGCTTTCTCCCCTCCCCCCATCTCCCCCCCACCATCCACCCTCGAAATACTTCTTTATTTTTTTTCCGTTCTTTGATTAATTTGATTTGTTTGAATCTGTGGTGAGCATTTTTAATCATTTACAAGCAAACTTTATCTAAGTTATTTACAATCTATAAACAAATAAATATGTACTGTATAATATTACTGTAAAGGTATATGAATTTGCTCTACTTTGCAGACCTCCACCAACATTTAATTAGCTCAGCAATTGTGATGGATCTCAAATCGTGACGGCAGAGCAGCCTTCCCTCAGAAACTACAGACCTGGTGTAAATTATAAAGAATGTCATAATATTATAGTGGGAGTACTATTACTATTATACTCGTACAGATAAATGTAATATAACTGTCCATACTGCAACCAAATTATGCTCTTCATAGTTCAAAACTTTTAGCTATGATTTCGTTTTATTTATGTTGAATTAAACAAAACGTGTCTACTTTCTGGACAGTCGGAAACAATATATTTAATATTGATATTTATTGATTTTTTTGCGTCATATAGTTTCTTTTTCTTTATTCTAATGTGCATTTACTGCTAAAGGCAGCTAGTTAAAAACAGAAAAAGAAAAGAAACCCCAGTATCATTGTACATTACTGCTTCCCAATCTGCATGGAGATATCCCAGTACTGGCTCGTGGGCTTGTAACAGGCCGCTGCTGTAAATAAAGATTTGTTCTAGCTGAGTTGCCTGGCACAGACGGGGTTAAAACAGTTTGTCTGGCATCGGCGAGGTGTGATATCTAAAGTGATACAGATGACAAACAGGCACTCTGTACCAGCTCTGTGGCTCAGAAACAAAATGCTGCTATTGGCCTGCCCTGTGGAGAGTGATGCAACACAGCATGCGACTGGCAATATTAAGAGAGCTTACATAGTTTTGAATGTTTATTTTTGTTTTTTCGATCCGTTTGTGCAGCATCGCTGATTTATCCACCGTCAATCGGCATGACATCATGTGCGTCTCACTTTTTCGTGTTGCACAAAATTACTCTAGACTCACTGTTATTGTATAGAAGGTGTTGTCTGTTTTTTTTTAATGGAGTGTTTCTTTATTTTGTTGAGTTATTTTTTCCTTAATTAGCTAATTAGATCAGACTGTTGCATTTTTTGTTTTGGGTTTATTTTGGGGAGTTTTTTTCACACACAAAAAAATAAAATAAGGAGAGAAGATGATAGTAATACTGCATCGTAAGGCATGTTAATACTGTACAAGATCTGTAATAAAAGCGAATTATAATAGCCTGTTTCCTCAGACTATATTTGTTAGTCTTAATCACTGCTGCTGGTTGGAACAATGCTGTACTAATAAATGTTATGGATTTAGTGTAAAGTTTACCGAACAACCTTCTAATATGCAAAAGCATGCTTTTCTATGTTGGCGCAACTGTATATATGTCGATGTAACCGGGAAAGTGGAACCGTGGTTTTCGAGGTGAAACCAAAAGCGCTGTTGATACACCTGTAGATAACGGGGTCAGCGTGTCGGCAGATAACTGACAGCAGCTTGTGTGTGCGTGTGTGACGTGCATTATATTCTGTTCGGTTTGGTGTGAAAATTGTTTTCGTGGCCTTATTTAGCCAGTGGTTTCATTTCTCTTTGATAACAGGTTTATATGTAAGAAATATCTAGCATTCAAGTATCTCACCTTTGATCTGTGACACCGATGCACTAGCAGTTCTGATGTGGCTAAACATCCCTCCCTCTTTCAGCGTCTATTTTCTGATTTTAACTTTCAAATAAAGAAAAATATTAAATGAGGCTGCACGACATTCCAGCTGGCGATTTGCTCTGAGAAAAAAACCGAGTATAATATGAAGAGGAGGAAATTTAAGACAGAAAAACCCAAGCAGGTGCAAAAGTGTTGAATGATTGAATTATTCCTGACACTGCATCAATCAATAAAGATACCAGAGTATACATTTGCTTTGCCTTGCTCATTTTTTTCCTTGCTATTGTTTATTGTCGCGCATGTCGGTCATGATTCGAAAACCGTATCACGATTACGAGCGTGCTGCTTTTATCTTCTCTTGTCTGTGGCTCAAACTCAATTTCAAGTTGACAGTTCGCCCCAGAATCAACTGTGCGAGTCCGTATTTATCAATCATTGTTCTTGGATAAGTTGCCCAGTTTTGAAGATGTTTGTCTGCTTGAATAAAAGGAAGCTACAGAGTATACTTCTGGTGCTCAAAGCACCAAGACACTGCGTTTGATGTGGGTGGTGAGTGCAATGCGGTAGAACGAAGGCAATTCTCACACAAACTCCTGTGTTTGATTTGGAGGTGATGTGTCCTTTTAAGAGCCCTGCTAGGTTTCTTGAAACAGTTTGATCCTCAATTTGTTGGACAGAGACACTGTTTTTGTAGTTTTGCTTCTGTACAGTCATTTTTAACTCAAAGGACAAATTAAACATAATGTCTGAGGTCGATTCAAAGTTAGAATTTTTATTTTATAGTTTTTATTGTTATTTTTTAAAACATGAGGCTCATAAGAGATGTCATTGCAAGTTAGGGAGACCACGTTAGGTTGAAAAAGCCAAATAAGAGTGATAACAAAATAATTAGGAATGGCCGAAACAACATTCTTAAGAAGTATAAATGCAGTGATCAAGTCAGCAGCTCCCAACAGGCCTGAAAAACCAGAGAGGACAACTGGAGTGCATGATGACAGAATTATTTCTATGGTTAAGAAAAACAGCTTCACAGCATCTAACCAGATCAAGACCACGCTATAGGAGCAGGCGTGTGTGCACGTCAGTCACATCTTGACTGTTGGATTTCAAATCTGTGGCGGTGTACAGAGGCAACACTACAAGAACTCTTTGCACAACACATTATTGACCTAACCGTACTTCTCCTTCATTGATGAATCCATAATAAACAGTGAAATATTTTAAAACTCTAACTGTTGCCTCAACACATATATGTTCAATGGAAAGTCAATCGATTTCATGTGTGCTCCGGAGGTTTTAAGTTGCACATCTGGCCTCCAAACTGGTTGTGATGTCACAATATCCTCTTATGCCTACACATGTTGAACTTTGATTTAAGGTGAGCCTCATTTTCAGCAGATTAATGGGAAACAGCTTTGACGTCCCGTACGACGCATGTATCACCCTGAACAATGAAGGTCAAAACTCTAAATGTGAGTTAGACTCTTTTCTTTTTTTTACATGAAGTGGGAGCTGATCGAGAATAGTTTTAACTCAGTAAACTGTTTACCGTACCAGTCATCAGCTAAGACTAAAATCAGACTAACAGCACATATTACAAAACTGTGGGATCTGGCTCTACACAGCCTTTCTTTTGTCCTTTATTAACTGCTATTATCAGGAGAAGTTTGGCACAATCAGGTAGTTTGCCTGTGGAATTGCTGCACTTCACAGAGAGTCATTTTGTCTGAGCCAATCAGAGGTCCATGTAGGGGAGAGTGCTGCTGTGTCTCCAAGGGTGTGACAGCAGTATGTGAGTCGGAGCTGCTCCCGGGGCCACCAGCCCCCTTGGCCCCCTGCAGGACCGCTACAATAGTGGCCCCAGGGCAGATGCCATAGCTGGGATTCCCACTCGTAACCGGGACACCTTCGCCCAGGGCACAGACACACTGGCAGCAGCCCCACAATCAATTCATCAATCTCTGAAGGGAGTGGCAACTGCAAAAGGCCACAGCAGGCACCCCTCACAGTTCCCCTTGGAAGGGACAGGGCCACCAGGGCTGACACAGAGACTGACACCATGGTGGCGTTGTGAAAGTGCCAAGCTCTGGAAATACTATAGGCAGCTATTTTTTCTTGACGGGGCAAACAGAGAAACTCTCATGTGAAAAATGAACACACACAAAAAAAGTGCATCTGGTGACAATCTTACACTTTACACCGTTTTACTCGGCAACAGGAAAGTTTCACATTGCTGTTTATGAAACAAAACAACTGACTCAGTCTTCAAGATTTCTTCCAACAGTTTTTGGGCAATGGTGTTTTTTCCCCCAAAGTTTTCCATTATTCAGTGACTGACTGGATTAAAGGCTCCTTATTTTATTAGAAGAAATTAGAGATTGGATCAAATGTCCAATAAACAGTGTGTAAAAATAGCCATCCATGTGCAAACGAGTCTACCCATCACAGGGCCCTGTAGCAGCTGTGAATTCGGATGCCCAAGTGTCAGACTCTGGCTCCTCCTGCTGGACAGAAAAAGAGGCTGGAGTGGGGCATTTGAGACTCCTGAGTCCAGGCAGATGAACAACAGAGACATTAATTACTGGACACATAAACCGAGCTGTGGTGTTATTTCTTGGCGTCTTTTACCATCAGGTTGTTGAGACGAACATTAAAATCCAAGTTCATCTCAATCTCACCATTCTTCCCATTTCCTGCACATGGATGCTTGCAAACAAACTGCGGATTGTTCGGCTCTCCCTCCCTGCCGCATTCAAAAATAAGATTAACAGTACATCTGTCAGAAGCGGTTAATGATTTCCATCCATTAGTGGCCCGTTTTCACCCGCAGCTCCGTGTTCAGGAATCTTGTCTGCTCCGAGGCCATTTTCTCAAATTAAGCATGTTCTTGTTTTGGGTTCAGAAGTCACTTGACTGTCTGACAATGTGGCCATTGTGGCAGGCTGCTCCACACGCATCAAAGAGGTGATTAACCAGTTGACAGGGCTGCGGGGACAATACTGCTCTTTACGGGGGAAACAGTGCGGCCACTCAGAGCGCTGGGCTCTTACTGGGTGGGGGGACCGAAACGCCGCTTCCACTGCTGACAGCATGAACAAAAATAACTGGTGTTCAAACTGCTGCACACGGCAAATATTCACATCCAAAACCAGCTATTTGCTGCACTGAACGACCTGTACTTGTCTGTCTCACTGGCTCGTATGTCATTCAGCTTTTTTGTTATTATAATGTTTTAGGTGGGGGTGTTTGTAACGTTTTAAGATTTCTGTCAGTGCTATTGAGTCTGTCGTTTCTCGAGGGCTTCATAAATTTATCAGAATTCTTTGCTTTAGTGTAACAACCGAGGCTTCAGCTCGAAATGACGGACAAACCGCTGATTGGTCGGGATGTTGGCCAATCACACGTCCCCATCTGGGAGGGAAATTCCCTCATCACAATAAACTACAACTTGTTCACTGTTTTCAGTTTTGCAAGTAGTCTGAGGGATGTTTGCGCTCTTATTAGGTGGTTTGAAGGAGTTGCACTTGTCCTTCACTTTGACTTGATCTGATTTTCCCTTTAATAGACACTTTTTTTTACTTTTATACCCCCATTACTGTATATCCTTTAGTCGATTTTTTCCCCCTGAAATACATATTGGCTCTTCGGAGGACTACCTAAACCGCTTTGATATGCAGAGATCTCCGTGAACAGGCTGGACATCAGCATGGAGCAGTGGCGAGTCATTTTACTGGGAGTGATTTTGTCTTGGAGGCTTCGAACATCATCCCAAACGCATGAAGGTGAGGACGTGATTCTATATCTGAAATCCTTTCTTAGTTTGGATCTCGTGAAATTTAGACAATACCGAAATTACCAGACAAATTATAGCAATAGAATAGAATTAACTGTACTTAAAGATGTCGTAGTATAAACTGATAAACCTCAGCCTCTCTTTGTTTGGTTCACAGCAGACCACTCTTTCTTAAAAGCTTTTTTATTGTTATGATCCAGGCCCTTGCAGTGCACTTTAAAAATCTGCAGAGAACAGCAAAGATTCACTTTAAGAACTTCTATTTACCATTAACTGATTGTCACGCTGTCAGTAAATTCTTTCTGATAAAATTTAATGTGGTTTTCTGCAGTTACAACGACATTAATGTGCAATCTTTGCCAACATTCAGATCTCCCTTTGCGATAGCTGTCAGACAATCACACTGTTTTTCTTTCCTGTCAGGAGCTTTTGTTTACTTACTAATTTCCGATCACTGAGCCCTTTCATGAATGTGTTATGCTTCATATAAATACAAAATATTAACAAATAATTTAAGTACTAATGCCTGTTTTTGAGTTATCCCAAGTATGAGTTAAATATTATTGAGATTAGCTGAATATTTCAGGGCCAGTGTTTGCTTAAAATTGCCATGTATGAATATAAGTGTGCATTAGGCAACAGTCCTTTGTCAGCATGTAACTTTCCATTGTTATTATGCAGCAGTCTTCAGGGTCCTATAGCTGTGTGTTATGTGTTCATAACGAAGACAAGAGATATGACTTGTGTTGAGCGAGTGCTGCAGGTGGCTAACGTTTGCACATTAAAGGACCAGTTCCTCAGTTTTTTTGCTGGGCACTCAGAGATGGTGTGTATGTCACCTTCCGTTCACGATATTTCCCTTCCCTCTGCCAGAGAGTCGCGTTCACACACGGCCCATTGTCTTTTGGTATGATCTCAGCAATGCGCGGCTTGCAGACGCACATGCACACGCATACACAGAAGCACTGTCTGTCACTGCAGCACTCATCACTCACTGAGACACACTGTCCACATTTATAGCTTTACAACAATGACGCACTTTGTCTGAGGGAAAATTTAAAAAAAAAAAAAGTCACTCTCTCTTCTGACCCCCCTGACCTCCTCTTCATCAGCCCCAGGCCTGGACTGCTCCATGTAAGCGGGTAACAGCCTGCCTGTTTCTCTCTGCTTCACATCAAAATCTGTAGCCAGCACAGGCATGAACACAGCATCAGGGAGAGTCACCAACCCTATAAATACCACAGACACAACACAGCCCACAGTACTCACTTTCCCAGTGTTATTTACGTTCATTTTCATCTTTATTCCCTATCTGTGTTAGAAGTGTGTCCAGGGACGCAGAATGGACTCAGTTCCACAGGCTCCCAGAAGAACCAGTACAATCTGATTAGAAACCGGTATTATGGCTGTGAGATTGTAATGGGAAACCTGGAGATCACACAGATTGAGAGTAACTGGGA